GATTTCTATGTTCATTCCTAAGCAGATCTAACCTTAGCGATGGCTTGCTCACACAGAAGTTGCCGTGCTCGCTTTGGATGTCAGAGGCCTCTGCGTAAACCGAATAGCCTGAAAACGTTTTGAAGACAAGTGTTTTACAAAAGCGAAAGCAATAAAGCATCAAAGTCAATTGGAACTGAAAAAACCAACAAATGAACTGAAAAGCATGTCGCACCAAAGGGCGTCTCGTAGTGGCGACGGTCATAAGTTACTGGCGGTGACAATCACTGAGTACTGTGTAACAAAAGGCGTAACATGCGTCTCTCTAAATGAAGACACCCCAAATTCTAAGACTCGCTGATGGTAATATCTCATTAAATTCGTTAGAAGCACGAATCGATAGAATTGGCTAAGAGACAGGCGAAACGAAGGACCCGCCTGGTGTGGTGGCGAACGCATTACTACACTACTCGAAAATGACAATAACACGTTCTTTCCCCACCGCAGACACCGGCGGTCCGGAGTTTTGCAAATATCCCAGCATAATAGACGTTATATTTCACAACATACCTTGCCGTTAAAAAAATGGGTAGCATGTAAAATGGTTAAGATTGTGCATGTTTCCGACTATTTAAACACGTTTAGTCCTCTAGCTACTGAAAATTTATTGCACATTGTTGGAAAAAGCAGCATTGCAGCGCTTAAATCGAGAACGAGTTCAACTGTGTTTGCAGCCTTCGCGAAATAAACGGTGCTAGACTATGTTGAATAAGACAGCAGTGACGGTGATACTGAGATATTTGCAAAACTTGGACCCCAGGTTGGATCAAACAGTGATTACTCTTTCCAGGGATTGACGTGTCACGCATGGCACCGTAGAGCCCTTCGTTCTTCCTTTCTGTTAGCTAGTCTTTTTGCGCTAAAGGTACCATCGCCAATCACCGCCCATCGGAAATGATCTTAAAGAACACAAGCCATTAAGCAAGGGGTGTAGTAGAAATCACTGTGCAACTTTAAAGTGAGTGGGCTTAATGTCGATTTGTGCTTTCCAGATCATTTCTGCGGGTGATTGATGATGGCACCATGAGGATGAAAAGTCTGGCTCAGAGAAAGGCAGAACGATGGAAACTTATCTCGTAAACTTATCTCGTGGGGTTAACAAGGAGAACGACGCGCCCACGCGAAACGCTTGGCCAAAACAAAATTCCGTTTATGTTGCCTTTTATAAGCGATGAAGTAAGCGCAGCTATAAAACGATGCTTAAGAAGGGCAGATCTAGAGGAATCGGTAGCGATAGTTGAAATACCACCGACTACTCTACGTCGCCAATTAGTTCGCAACCGCCTGTATGACCGTCTGTGTGAAACAACAAATTGCGTAATCTGCCCTTACGGCAGGGACGGTGATTGCATGAGTTCAGGTACGATATACCTGATCTCGTGTAACAATTGCGGAGATGAATATATTGGCGAAACGGGCAGACCTTTGTGTATCCGTATAGAAGAACACCTAGATGGCAAACGAAAACTAAGACGAAGCACCCCACTAGGCACGCATAGGATACAAAAGCATAGCGGAGACGATTTTGAAGTGAAAGTCAATATCCTTGCACAGGAGTCCAAAACACCAGCGCGAAAACTCCTTGAGGCTTTTTGGATCAATGCCAAAAGCCCTACAATGAATAGCAGGGACGAATGCCCGGAGATCATACGCGACCTGATCCCGTACGTTCGCATCGATTTTTGATGTGGGATGGTGCAGTCGTCAACCACATGCGACTATAATCAGCTGTTCTAAACTTCCTCATTGGAAGTCACGAAAAAAAGCGGTGGGTTTTTCGAAAAGTTGTTGATTATGTAATTGCCGGAGAGTTCTTCGTCTTCTTGTAAGTGTTATTGAAGCGTTTGGCCTAGTAGATTGCATATCAGTATACCCTTCCAGGCTCTGAAGAAGGCGATACTGCCGAAACGTCAGCTAGCGTTGTATTGTATTGTGTTTTTATGGAAGTAAATGTATGCTGTTTAAAAACCTCGCGATTGCTGAACAAGAAAACGACACATTCTGTGACTAATAATAAATCCCACGACCGACTTTCTATTAACCTCGGCATTGATCAAGTGATTCTTCGTATTTTTGTTGAGCAAACACGAGGTGTTATCTCACTCTTTATTCACGAGCATGCTGACGTTTCGGCGGATTTCGCCCTCAGAACCTGAAAAGGTCAGGTTGACAGCAATCTATTTGAGCAATCACCTCATAATAAAAGAGAGAAAACGCCAAACCAAGATTTCAGTCACATTGAACACAGAATAACTCCGTTGCACACTCACCACTTTTTATGAGCTTTTCACTGAGAACGTCGGGTGGAGACCATCCGCACAGAATTCACGTGGAAGCGTAATGTGCCCTTCCCATCAGAATGACAGGCTTATATACTTTCCAATATCACGTGTGATAATGAGGCATTCTTCCCTGCGGTTCATTTTTGAATTTCTGGAATTAATCCAGAATGTCTCGAGAGTTTTTCGCGCCTGTGTTCTTGATTCTCGTGCGAGGATCGTGACACATACTTCAAAGTCCTCCCCGTTATGTCTCTGGGTCCCATGCGTTCCTAGCGGGGTATTTGGTTTACGTTTACCGACTAGGTGTATTTTTTGTGGCCACAGAGTGGTCTATCCGTTTCGCCAATGTATTCGTCTCCGCTCGCCTTACAACCCCTTAGTTATCCTTTTTTTGAGTCGTCCTTCGAATTAATCGGCATGATTGTTGTGAAGTTCCATGGACTAGCTCATAAGTGTGAAAAATTGGCGAGATCCCCTACACCTTGTAAATGTTCATTTTGGACCACCACAGAAAATTCCACCGATTTCTTCTACTATTGGTAGACATCTCTTCAACGTTTATCGACTACCTTTGATGAAGTTAGTGGAAAAGAAAAGGGAATGTAACCGTAACCATGACGACTTTTCTAGAACCTATTCTCAAATTTGCTCATTGGCAACTCGCACAAAGAGCATAGCTTTCATAGCATAGTGACACCAAGAAACAGATAGCCCCATAGGAATGTTTCGATGGAAGTGGTGGAGCTAAAATGAGACGAAATGTATTTTTAGCTACTCTTGTTAGTAGTGCAAAAGGCTGGCAAATAAGAACGACATCCATAAAAGTAGTAATTACAAAAGAATGTTGGTGAGCAGGCAAAGACTTCGTAAGTTGATGGCTATTCATGGTTTACATGCATTTCCAGTCCCTATGACCGAAGTGGCAGATCGTGTAGCGCAGTGGCTAGAGGCGCTCTCCCACCGGGTTCGGATAGTTGGTGGCAGACTTGTCCGGGAGGATATTAGCACTGGCTCGATACATCGGTAGGCCACCGCGAGTCATTGTAAAGACCAGACCTGTCCTCAATCACCTCCAAACGATGCTTAATGAAGTCGAATGCATGGCCCTCAAGGATTGATCATCCCCGAGAGCTTCATCATTTTTTATCAGAAGAAGCAGATGATTCAATTGATCCACAAAAGAAAACGCACTCGTGTTGGTTTGTGGAAGCAATTAACATTAACATTTATTTTGCTGCTTGGAAAAAGACCGTGCGAAATCGGAAGCCAGAAAAGTGGATATCTACACACATGTGGAGAATTCGGCTAAAAAACATTTATTGCTCTTGATTGAATATTCAGACTATTTCGAGATCGAAACACCATATAAATTTGCAAGAATGCACAGAAATTTGAGGTTTAGCAAAAAAAGAAGTGAAGCTGATTGGTTCTTCCAGTATAAGAAAAAGCCGTGACCGTTTCTATTCTCTGTCAACTTCCACCTTCAATGACGCCTTCGACAGCTCCTAAACGAAAGTGTTACGCTGTATAGTTAAAAAGTGCGGTAGTCACAGAAGCGCTTCTCGTTAAAATACTTCAGATGTTTGAGAAGTCCTTTCATGAACAGCTTTCAAAAAACCGGAAAAGTAAAGAATGTGGGGTTTACTTTGGATGGGAAATTATCATTCCGATCCAGACTAGAAATCTGCGGAAAAAATCTGGGAAGGAACTCTGCAATCCATGACTTCATAGCGATTTAGTGAAATCGTAAGTTAAAAAGGGAGACGGGAAACGAAACATCATCGGGTTATTTGTTCTGGGTAGAACAAAACTTGCCCAACTCTCCAAATCGGCTGAAAAAGACGAGGGATAACGGTATAAAAGGAAAATAGTCGATTTGAAAGGGCCGAGCGTAGCAAAAGAAAATAAAAGAAAAGTGAAGAGGAAAAGAATGAAATCCTTGTAACCGCTTTTCCCTAACGGCCCAGATTTTTGGGCTTGTTCCGGAGCGATGGTTGCTAACTGAACAGTACTAAGAAGAAATCGGCGAAAAAGAATGAAAACCAAAAAGGAAGAAAAGCGAAATCAACGAAAAACAAGAAAACCTGCACCAACCTGCGACAGTTGCGTCTTCTGACTCCCTGTTGCCTAAAAAATTTGCCTCACCTTACCGGATGCTTAGTAGATTAAATGCATTTCTAGACACTTTTTTTTATTGTTCCGAAACCGCTGATGCCTTGTCGCATTCACTTGCTTGGCGACTGACTTGCTTAGTTGTTGAAATCTGTTTAAGAAGAAACGTTATATTAATACTTCTTTCAGGCTTTCGGTAGCGCGGGAATTTCAAATAGCTCAAATGATGACTGCAGTAGCCGCTCCTGGATCTGGAGTGTTCTTCCTAACCATCTCATCGCCGCTAAGGAATTTTGACATTCAAGAAAAAGGAGAAGATCTTTCTTTGATTACTCAAGAATGAATAAATTTTTTTGGTCAAAAAGTTGGAGCTTTCGCGACCCTATTTTGAGAAGACTTTCTTATAAGGGAAAAATATCCCGGAATCTTTTTAGCCTTGGCACACGTGCAGACCTTCTGTTATCTCTTGCCCAGATCCTGTACTCTTTTAATACAACATAACTCTCAGCAAAGAGCGGAAAATTTTCCCAGCGTCTTTGGCTACAGTATTTCCATTAATAAAGCTTACAAATCTATGCTGTCGCTTATTGATCGTATTTCTTTCTTTTTTTGGAATGTTCAGAAATCCATGTGAGTGAGTGATTTTCATAAGCACATGACAGCTTCGGCACAACTTTTTTCAATTCAGCATTCAAGCACCCACACAAATCCCGATCGAATGGGAACTGAGAAAGGGACTAAAACAAATAAAGAACGATCTTACTGTCGATTCTGTTGCTGAATCTTGAGTGTCTTCCTGCTGAAATTAGACTTCAGTTCTTTTCGAAGATGTATTTTAGGGAGGAAATATTGTAGTTCAGCTTCACGATTTTAAGCAGATAACAATAAGGATTTAAAGTTTGAATGTTCTACATAAAGACTTACATTCATTTTTAGTTCAGTTTCCGAACATTGCGTAGGTTTGGACTTTTCCTTCGGTCTACTTTCTTCGGTCTACTTTCTCGGGCAGCATGACCATGCGCGACGTCCTCCACTGGTCTGAGATTTTCTCCTTTTGAAGACAAGCTGTCAAATGTTTTAGAAGAAGTACATGTAAATTGTGGCTTCCAGCTCTAAAGAAGTTGGCGGTAATAATATCCAGTCTTGGAGCTGTGCCTCTTTTCATGCATGCCATCGAAACTGGAACCTCCGTCGGAAGAATTCCAGGCCCGTTTTTCTCTAGCAAGTATATTAGTGTCCAGGATGGAGATTGTGGAGTGGAAAAGGTTGGTGTAGAACGTTTCCGCTACCAATCCTATATTATGGCGGGAAGTTTTGACGATCCTATCTTTGCAATCCTAACCCTTTTATTTATTGCCTTTTTCTTTTAATGGCAGGGTATGTTGCAAAATATAACTCGCATATAAATCTGAGATATTTACAAAACTCCGGACCGCAGGTGCATGCGGTGGGGAACGAACGCGCGCTATTGTCCTTACCGGGGTGTAGCGCACTTCACTCTTCGGCACCTGGCATTTATTACTAGCCATGTTAAACGTGTTGCAGTAGGATCAAGCTTCAATTTCCTTCTCTTTTCGAGCAACTCCTTAGTAGTGAAGGAGATGCGATCCGATCTTCTTGCTTGAGGAACGGAAGCTAACAGGGCACAGCTTTTCAGTTCTCCGAGAAGCAGCTCGTAGTCTTCGGTCGGGTGTTTTTTTAATCTGCCAGTCACGTTTGGATAGCACTTCGATCAGAATGTTCACGTTGTATACAGCTAGTCTTTTTTCTCATGGTCGATGAAGAGAGTTCTTTTCCAGCTTGCAGTTGAACCGAATCTTCGCGCGAAGGCGGTGATCGGAACCAGTACAGAATGACGGGACTACCGATGTGACAAGGAGGCACTATCTTCTGTTGTCAGCATATGGTCGTTCTCCGCATGAGTCATGCTATTGGAAGACTCCCATTTTCAGCTGCGGCTTTCTTTCTTCTGGAAAACGAATTTCCATGGAAAAGACGTGCTGCTGACAGGAGTCTTGCGTGACGGTTCCCATTCTCATTTCTTTCTCCTAATCCAAAATTACCGATCCTGTATTCGCTCTCGTTGGCCTTTCCTATTCTGGCGTTGTAGTCTCCAACAATAAATTTATGATATGCTTTGTCATTGCGGATATCTTCCCCCAACTGATAGTAGAACGCATTTAATTCGCTCTCATCGGCTACGTCGGTCGGTGAGTAGCAATTGATGATAGTGATCTTCTTATGATGCGACAGTTGAAGACGGAGGAGGGCAATGCGAGGGGAAAGGATCGCGTATGAGTC